CGTGACCATGACTTGTCCGACTCAGATACCTTCCATCACTGAGGGAGAGGAACCCCCATTGGGTCAATCTCCTCAAGTACCTGAAACGGGTCCGACTCGGCTAACCTGCCTTTACTCTTATCATGTGACCGTAACCTGATCTCAGATCCTTTCCATGAGGGACAGGCATCCTTACAGTAAGGATGCCTCCACCCTCAGTGACAGAAAGGATCAGAGTCGGGCAGGTTACGGTCATGTGGGGAGAGTAAAGGCAGGTTAGCCAAGTCGGACCCGTTTCGGGTACTTGAGGAGATTGACCCAACGGGATTCCTCATCATCTTTTTTGTATCCTTTGTAGTAGACCTATAGGATAGCATCTGTTTAGCCTCTGACTCGCACTCTCATATGCTATTACTGTGAGCTGGGTGCCCTGTGTCCTTACACCGGGCTGGAATAGCTTCTGACCTTGCTATCCTTGCTACTTGCTTTGCTTGCTTGTCAACTTCCTTCTTCTCCTTTAATTGAATTGCAGTATGGGCTTGTGATGCAGTTAAAGCTCCACCAACTTGTAGAGTGCGACGGCTTTTTGTTCTTTGGTTGATATTTGTAGAAACACGTTTTTGAAGTACTGAATGATCAAACTCTTGCAATTGTGCTGTAAGTAACACCTCTTCTGCATTATCCATGAAATTAGTAAACCCTTGCCTTGATGGACTGCTTAGCAAGTCAGGAACCTTTGCTTCCATCTTGGAATCTGTTCTTCCAACCCTAAAAATGTTAGAGGGAGTTGTTCTTCAAATTGAGATTGTGTTAGCTTTGAGTATTTCTTGATCTTCTGAAGAGCAGTAGTACTATTAATCGGCCATACTCCTGCATTCTCAAATGCATGAATAATAGTTCTATGCTTGAACGTATTCTCTCTAATCTTTGGTAAATCCTGAAGGAAGGAAGGAATGTTATATTCAAGGTCTAGACTTTTTATAACCTCTTGAATAGCTATCTTATGCCAGTGCTTGTAAGGTTGGAAAACCCCAACACTGAGTGATTGTAGAATATGCGTGAGGTGAGAGGGAAATGTAAATGGGAATATGTTATGCTTCTCTGCAAGGATTGCAAATTGAGGGCAATGATGACTTGCATGAGAATCAAGCAAGAGGACCTTTGGCTCTGAATCTTGTGTGCCTTTTGTATGTTTAATAAAGTGGTTAACCATTCAATTGCAAGTTCGTTGTTGATATATCCAGAGTCTGAAAGTAGAATCCTCTCTTCTTGAAGATTCTTATGGTACCAAGATTCCATATGAGTTTTGCCCTGTATGATAATAACAGGTGGAATAACTTGCCCACTTGCAGAGACAGCTTCAACAACAGTAAGGGAACTCTTGTTTTCAGGACTTGGTGTGTAGAGTTCGTATATTCCAATAGGCACCATGACTTGTTCACCACCTGGGATTCCAATTCGAAATCCTGTTTCATCCATATTCCATAAGTTGCATGGTTTGCAACTATGCTCTTGCTTTATCCCATGCTCTTCTAGAAATGTAGTATATCTTTGAAACCATTCTTCAACTACTGTTTCATCATGTGCTGTTGTTCGCTGTCGTGATATAGGCTTTGTAGTAATTGTATGAAATTCAGAAAGCTCATGTTGGACAAATTTTCTCATCCAACTATCAATGGCGGTGGTAATGGGATCACATATATGACAGAGAGCAGCATATATCATCTGCTTTGTAGCACCTGCTCCATTCTCGTATTGCTGATGTATCCATTGTTTGATTGTGACAACTTGAGTGTTTAATAATAGCTTATTGTGCCCTCCATGCTGTTCTTGTTGAGCTGTTGTGTTCGTTTCTCAGAGGATTGATCGACGTAGGGTATCTGCTTTGACTTTGAAAATAGTTGCAGCAGTAGAAACTAATTCAGAAGGATTTGCAAGGAGCCATTCCTTTGCTTCACGAAGTGTAGTCTTGTGGTCAGACATGTTGTTGAATCGTTATAGAATTGTTGTGGAAATTAAATGTTGGGGCAAGACATCTTGCTTCCCACAAGACAACTTGCACTGGAGCGAAGCGACCAGGCGGATCCGACGATTATCTGTTTCTTCAGGCTTCCGGATGCCAGAGCAACCTTGTAGCCCTTCGCAGCAAAGGCTCGGGCCACATGCTTCCCGATATTGGGTCCCGATTCAAGGGTGAGAACGACAGGCGATGTGCTGACCATGATTTCAGGTTTTAAATTTAGACTGAAATGTTGAGTATGATTACAAAGTTTAAAATTCATAGGAACGATGTTTAATGATCTTTCAGTAGAATTATCGGTCCTGTTCTAGCAGTCTTTCCTTTGTTTTTATACCGTTGACAATAGCTATGTTAAGTAATTTACCTTTACTAATTCAGCCTCAAAGCTGCTAAACTTCTAATCGTCATAAGTTAATCGCAAGTTGATGACAAATCGGTCAATTATCAAGCCTACAGTAATTAACGTAAGTGACGGCGTAATGTGGGGGACTGGGTAACGCGGTGGATTTCTGAAGACGACCTAACAAAACTGTAAATTTAACTACAATTAACAATGATACATGATCCACCGTCACTCTTAGATTGTTCCCCTGCATCCTCTTCAATATACTCATGAATTTCAATGTCTGATGAGGCGAGCTTGTCCTTTGTTTTGCGCTTTTTCTTACTTGCACTATGCGTCGCCTTTTCTGCCTCCATCACTGCATCACACAATTCTTGCATAGAAACATAAAAGTGACCCTTTAGAATAACCCTTTTCCCCTTTGTACGTACTGTATGTCGCTTCATAACTGATCGCAAGTTGTTGGCATCGAGTTGGTGGACAATGCTACGTGCTCTAAGTTGCTCTGATGCAACAGTGAGTTTTTGGATATACGTCCGCACTGGTGTTGACAGCACCCCACTACCATTAATCGTAGTTGTAAGGAGCGCATTTGCAGAGCGTAAGGTCATCCCATCAGGGGGGGAGCTGTTAATAAAGACTCAGTCAAAAACATCATACTGATGTGGTGTTTTTGGTCGCTCAGCCTCGACTGATGGCTCATCATTGAGCAGCGTACGCAACGCTCGCTGGGGATTAAACGGAAACAAGCCAGCACCACGGTATGCTGACTCAATGTTCTGATGGTTGCATACATCAAGCTGCGCCTGGATGTATGCCTCCATCCATTCATACTTCTGTATGCGCGCAGGTTGCACTTGGTTGAGTGGGGAGAGCGCTGCCGTTAGACGCTTTTTTAGTGGGCCGAATATCGCAACATCTAGCGGTTGTAGCAAATGCGATGTATGAGGGGGAAGTATCAGTAATACAATACGGTTCTGCATGCAATGCACAATGAAACTCCCACTAATGTGTGAGTCGTGGCCATCGCATATAAGAAGCCAGTGCTGACCATCTGCTTGTTACGGCTATAGTAACATGATGTCATGGTTACAGGGCCAGGGCCTAGTAACGTGACGTGTGAGTCACAGTGGGAAGCGGGGTAGGCTGCCATGTGACGGGGCTAATGGATAGTTGCAGAAACTAGTGGATATTGGATAGTTAAGCTATCCACGAACTATCCTGAATATCTAGCTATCCGCCAACTATCCAGATTACCCATGAGGCATGACGCCACTATATAAGTAGATAGTATTTCCTTAGATAGGAGCTTCGTGCTCAACTCAATATAGTATTCTTTACAATACTGTAACGTGTTACTTGGAAAGCCTTTGTGTCTAATCCCCTGCCTCCTCTGTCAAGTCAACCTTACGCAAGAAACCTCTGTGTCTTCTATCATTTAGAAGTCAGCGTTACACTGCTTTTGCGCGTGTTGTTGGCTCGAAGATGCGTTTTAACCACTCTAACCCATGGAGATTGCTTGTCCAGCCTTTTGTATTCGCAGAGAAGAACCACTCATTGATGATTGTAGGAGGAATCCATGATTGGAGAACGTTCTTGCCCTTAAAGATCCCAAGGGGTGGAAGGATGGTTCCGTCTGCGCAGATGCACTCGACCATTATAACCCAATCCTGACGGCCAGGATGCGCTTGATGCTTTGTACGAAGCATTGAATCAAGTATAATTTGAGTAGATTCCATTGTCCCAATCGAAAATCCAGATTCATCCATGTTATATGTGTTCTCTTGTGTGATTCCGAACTGTTGAACCACCTCGGTGTACGCGTCAAACCATGCTGTAAGCACTGGTTTTGTTGCACCGTCCATGCGTACAGTTTTGATCCGTCGTCCGATGACAACCTGTAGATGCGGGTGCCGTTTTATGAATCGCTGTACCCAGTGGTAACCAAGGGCAAACTGTGGTTGGAGTGGAAGTGAGTTTGGTGTCGCGTCATCAAAATTGAGTGATCGGTGCGACTGGATTTCTTCAGCTATTTCCTTTAACAACCGATGCCCAGGAGAATAACCGCTAATTGTTAGGTTCTTAATCCACTTCAGAAGTATCGTCTCTTGCGCGCTTGATAAACTCTGCTGTTGCTGACGGGCTTGAGAGCGTGTCAAACCTCCATTGGCGCGACGCGTCACAGAACTCTTAGGTAACCCTAGCACTTTCTCAGCGTGATATGCGCTCTTATACTTCCCAGATTTGACGTCTAATACTGCTTGGGCTATTAAAGTCTCACGTTCAGCAATACCCAGGTATTCACGACGATTCATTGTTGAGTTATTTACAATTATCTGAAGTTGGTGGGGTAAATCCACCGCGTTACCGTAACTTACGTTGCTGACAAACCCAAGCTTTTCACCGATCTCGTCCGCCTGCGCTTCCGCCCCGCCCGCCTCCGCTCCCGCCTCCGAATCCCGCCTTAAATCCGCCTCTTCCCGCCTTCTTCCAACCCTCTTCGGACACATTGGCATGATGAAATCTCTATACTTATTGCTCGTATTTAAAGGAGCCTCCTTCTTTTAAATATATACAATGTAGCCCCAAGAGTCTTGCGTTGGCCTTTTATTACCCGTACCTCGCAACATATCCACGACAGACTCACCCGCGACAATCATGTCCTCGCCCACAACTTTTCTGATCGCCGGCGGAACTGGCCGTCAAGGTGGCTCCGTCGTCAATGCACTTTTGGCAGACAAGTCTACTTCAATTCAAGCCAAGGATATTTATGTCTTGACTCGGAATACAGCCGGCGCCGGTGCTGCCGCTCTCGCAACCCGGGGGGTTAAGCTCGTGCAAGGTGAACTCGGCCAACCCGATGCGATCTTCAAGCAGCTGTCAGACCTGGGCGTGAACCCCACCAAGACAGCCGCGTTCCTGTCCCAGGCTCATGGACCGACAGAACTGAACGATGCGAAAGGTTTCATCGACGCTGCCATTACGAATGGATTGTCATATTTCGTCTACTCCTCCTGCGATCGCGGTGGTCCAGAACTCAGCGACCGCGACGCCTCCTACTGCAAGACCTTCTCCGACAAGTTCGGCACCTCCAATCAGCTAGCGCAGGTGGCAAGAACATCAACTACACAATTCTGCGACCAACTTGGTTCGCCGACAATGCTCTCTGGGGATTCCCTGGCAAGCTTTGCATGGCAGGATGGCGCGAAAACATGGGAGGAAAGCGTATGCAGGTGACCACGATCAAGGATATCGGACGATGGGCAACTGAAGCTCTTCTGCGTCCTGACGCCTCGGGTATCCGGAACTCAGCCCTTAGCATTGCTAGCGACTATTTGTCGTTCGATGAGCTTGACGCTATATTCCAGAAGGAGACAGGAAAGCCGGTCAGCGTCACTTATGGCTGGCTAGCGAGATTGATGATCTGGATGGTCGAGGATTTGCGCACTATGTTTGGCTGGATCAATGAGCGGGACTATGACGCCAACCTCGAGGAGCTGGCGAAGACGGTTAAGCCTACCACGTTCCGTGAATGGGTCAAGGAAGCCCACAAAGCTTGAGAAGTTTGCGGGGTGGTGAATTGTTTGTGATTTCATAGAGCCTAAGATACTACATATCTTAGGCTCTATGAAATCACAAACACAGATACCTCGCACTTGTCTAATTACAGGAAAGTTTTTTCGTTTTACATACCAAGTATACAAACCACTGTTACGGTCGGGCGCACATGTGTTTTATAAAACAGTCTGAGTGAACCTTCTTGTTACGCAAGAAAAGTAAACCCTATTTTTCCGAATAAGTACGATAATCTTATTTCTATCTCAAGCGTCTAGATATAGCCCACAAATCCTCGTCGATGAATTTCATTTCAATTCATGCCAACACGCCATCAAGTACGATCTCGAACTCGACCTCCTCACACTTGACCATAGAGCTCTCCGCGACCGCCGATCCGCAAGCTGCTGACCCAACCCCAGCACCCTCCACGTCAACTCTCCACAACACTGCCACATCATCCTCAACCACCAAATCTCTGGGGTGTCTTGCCTTCTCGAGCACCTTTGGAGAGTACGGGCTCGCTGCCCACTGAAGCATACCAACGCTCTCCTCAGAGACTCTCGAAGCCTGGATTCCCGCCCCTGAATGGCTAGCCATCGTCACCCATCTGGTATCCATCCTGTTCCCATTCTCTTGCGGCACTTCGTAAGGCGTGTGAAGTCCCACGACCGTCTTGTTCCAGATCCCAACTCGTTGAGCGGAGCGCTTGTAGTCCAAACCAAGATGCGTTCTCCAGGCTCTTCGCGAGGCGAACATCAAGGCCAACACGTGGAAGATAGGCGGGGAATGCCCCACATGGAAGGATGTGCGCTTTAATTCTCATAGAGCCGGATGAAGAAATCGAATATGTCAGAGTACAGTCGAATTCCCAGCCTAGAATGGGAGGAAATGTAAGTTTTGATCTTCAGTTGGACCGTGGATGGATCGACACTCTCGACGGTGAAATCGCGCAACTGAGAAGTGAGGGTATCAAGGCCATAGTGCGTCCAGTATAGATAGTCTTTGGGACGATCATTATCAGTTAGGCTGCGCCAGAATCCTGGTATAATAGCTGCCCGGGTCTACGAGTCGAGGGCGAGGAGCGGGACGGCTCCCACAGTCCAGGATGTTATGGACCCGCGTGCGCGACAAAATCTGATGTCGAAGTCGGAATTTCCGACGGAATATTCAACCTTTGAAGTGTGGAGTTGGAGAGCGCTGGATTGAGAGGCCGGATATTGAGGTACGGGAACTGTGGGAGAATTGGTCTGGTAAGGCGGTGCTGGAACCAGGCAATTTCGTGGCCAGCATCGACCCAAGACGTCGAGGCTCGAAGGCGGAAGCTCACCGTTAACCACCTGCCTGGCGCTTTCAGGTAGTCAAGAATATCCTGGGGAAGCCGCACTGTAGCTGTTTCGCCGGGCTTGACGTCAGGAAGAAGCAACTCGCCAGATGGTCCTATTTGAGCACTACAATATTGTTAGATTTGAAGAAATCGATCGGAGTCTCTTGAGACATACCTGTCGGTGACAAGATTCCAACTTGTATACGGCAACCAAGTGATTTAGATCAACAAAGTCGTAGCCGTTCTCAATGATAAGGTCCTCGTCGCTCACTGAAGCTCTGACTGGCTCTGACTTTTTTGAACTCTACTAAGCCAGGAGTAGGCGTATGGTCGCTGAACACAACCCGTCCATGACAAATGTATTATCGTTTGGAGTGTCACCAAAATCACCTCCGTAAGCGTAAAATCCACCTCGTTCTGAGTCGGACCCTGTCCATAAACCATGATTGGCCCACTCCCATATATATCCACCCTGGAGCCTCTTGTGGTCTCTGAAAGCTCCCCGATAGTCCTCAAGGCCTCCTGGCCCATTGCCCATCGCATGGGCATACTCGCAGAGAATCATTGGTTTCTCAAACTTATCGACGCCAGCCGTTTTCGATAGTTTAAGTAGCGTTTCTACCGAAGGATACATGTATGAAAACATATCGGCACTCTGGGCATCTTCGTCACCCTCATAATGAACAAGGCGGCCTGGATCGACACGTTTGGCATAATCGTACATGGCTTGGTGATTCTTTCCGTAAAACGCTTCATTCCCTAAAGACCAGATAATGATAGATGCGTGGTTCTTGTCTCGATGCAGAACCTGTTCCATACGATCGATGTACTGATCTTTCCACGCATTGTTATCCGATGTGAATGCAGCGGCTTGAGGGAACGCAAGCTTCTTGCGTTCACCGTAGTCCATTTCTTTCGGAATGTTAAGTGGTCTCGCGATGGCATCGTAAAACACCCGTGGCACTCCAGATCCGCTTCGTCCATAACCCACAGCCCAAGCTCATCACACAACTCATAGAGTCGTGGATGGTAAGGGTAATAAGAACAGCTAAGCGCATTGACTTGTATTGTTTCATTAGAAGAAGGTCCTTCTTGATGAATGACAACGGAACGGTCCGACCATGGTGAGAATGGTGGTATGTCAGTTCACACCACGTAGAATGATAGGCGATCCATTAACACACATTAGACCATCTTTGAGTTCTATAGACCTGAAGCCAACGTTGTGCGATTGTTTGCAAGGTCTTGTCCAGAGCTTTTGAGCGAGGGTGATCTCAAGGCCATATAATGTAGGAGTCTCAGCGGTCCACTTTCTTGGTGTAGGAATTTGAAGAGCTAAATCAATTTTTGACTTGTCGGCCTGGACGGAAAATGTGTCTGATTTCACAGTCTGGTTACCCTGTGGAGAGTCCTGGGCGTCAAAGAGACTTCGACATCAACAGTCAGCGCCAGATCTAGCGATACCGCCAACGTTGCGTCCATATATTGCTCGTCAAGGATAGTCTTCACGAAGAAATCCTCAATGCGAGCCTCTCCGGGAAACGCAAGTAGGTATACGTCTCTGTATATTCCTACGTCAAAATTTAGCATCCATCACGTGGAAGAGTCAGCTACCAAGAGCTCATACCTGATAACCACCATTGATCTTGGTCTTCAATATAAGACCCGTCGCACCACTGAGAAACCCGCACAGAGATCTCGTTGATAGAATCCCTCGTCACAAAAGCAGTAACGTCAAATTCGGTCAGATTCCGCGATCCTTGGTGGTAGCCGACAGGATGTCCATTGACCCAAACATGAAAGCTGCTGTCTACGCCTTGAAATCGGAGTCTCAACTGGGAAGATTCGTTCCAAGCTGGTGGCACAGAGAAAGTTCGGCGGTATGTGCCCGTCGGGTTTGCTGTGGGCACATGCGGCGGGCACACCGGGAATGAATATATCACATTCGTGTACTGAGGCTTGCCATGTTCCTGGAGCTGCCAATGTCCGGGCACGTTGATTTTAGTCCACTGTAATCGGGTAATTCCCCTTGGCCTGTGGAAAGTACAAAATTTGATTCTAGGGAAGGCATTTTTCTTGACGAGGCGCCAAATTTTTATTTGGATAAGCAATGGAGAGTAGAAAAGAGTTCAAGACATAAAATCTATTTGAGGAAAATAAGTGTGGAGAAGGAACGGAGGAAGCTATAAACCTGCGATATCTGTGATAGCGAACGCAATTGTGCTCTGCATGGAAATAACGTAAATGGCTCCTTATTACCGTTTCTAGTTTCTTCTAGACTCTATGGATTGGCGTAGAGAAGTGATGTGGAACATTGACTTAACGATGTAGGGCAAAAGGCTATGTTGGTTTCGATCTCTTCACTCGGCTCGGGGTAGCTCATTAGCGCCAACCGCCAATTAGCGCGCGTGAATCCCCCCAACGTTCGCTCTTGCACCCCCGCACTACAACCTTCACTGTCAGCCCAACCAACCAACTGCTGCAAAGTGATTGAAAGAATGGTGTGGCATTGGAACTAGCTGGGAATTGGTTGAATCGTTGCCCAGAAAATCCAGCAATTCCGGAATTTTGCAGTGGTGACGTGCCATTAGCAGATCCCACAATTTGAGTTGCAGTCAAGTCTCCAAAGGTGACTTCATGGGAATAAAGGTCGCCGACGATCTGTTGAAGTCTATTGTTAGCATCGCTCCTTGACTGGGTTACAGTACTTACTGTTGCACGTCCTGTGCCATCTTTCGACGTTGTACCATATTTATTCTCGAAAGTAATATGAAGATTCTCATATGTTTTTCCGGAAACGTAGATGCCTGGGTTCACAACGATATCTCCAGACCCAGTGTCAATTAAAAGACTTGAGGTTGGAAGCGCCGCCAACGGTAAAGTCGGCGTACCAGAACCCCTATCAAATTATTAAAAGAACGACACTTAAGACCAGGACACATACTGCATCGATTTTTATTCCTTCAGAAGCCAATCCATCTCGTCGGTCAAGATGGAGATATCCTGTGCTTTTCTTTTGGGAGAGGGCAAGGCGAGATGTGCGAGGTAAATCAACCGAATTGGAACCATAAACAGCCCCAATGGCTAGAGAAACCAGCATAAAATATAATAAAACTTCCATTGATATAAATTGAAGGCGAGACGGTGGGGCATTTGTTTGAACTATCTCCAAAATATGAGCGCCATGATCACATTTATATAATTTCTCAAGACACAAATTTAAATGAAGTCGTATGGGCAGCCACGAGGCAGAAAACATGCCCTGTCAATTCATGCCATATCTAATTGGTAACATCGGTAAACTTGATATATGGTCGAACATGTTTGTAGCCACATTGTAAGATTCTCAGAATAGATGCTGAGATGTGGACCCCAACGTTGATGTGAGAATCCTACGCCTCGGAATAGGGTTCGTGGTGTCTCGCATAACATCCTCTCATTGGTCGCATGGGCAGTTAGTCATCAAGGGACGAGTCGTAACCCCACCTGTCAGATATTAGACCTAAAATGAGATGTCTTGGATGAGACGTCAACGTTGAATGATGGGCAAAAGATCTATATACCCTACACCACCCCTGTAAAGATCTATATACCCAACGCTAACTTCAATAGATTCTGCCGCATTTAGTCAGCATCGCTGGCCCCATGCCTCACTGTAGCCAACCTCGCTGCTCCCACTAGCACTCGAACCCCCCCCCCAAATGACGTCCCTTCCGCTGCTTGTTGTGCCAGTAGATGGCGCAGAGTTCCTAGACCTGGATGCCGTTGTCCTTACCCCGATGACTAGGCACTTAAGGAGAAATTCGTCTTACAACACCCTAATGCCATCCCATTGACGTTTCTAAGCTTAGAGCTCACGAAACAGATCCATGTTTCCCGCCTATAACACGGGTCCCACGGGGGAGGCCAAAGAAGGAGAGGTTCCGGAAGGAGGACCCACGGAGGAGAGTTGGGGGGGAGAGGGAGCTTCTGGTGTTGGGCGCTGCTCTACTTGTGGGAATATAGAAGCTGCTGGTGCCCGCATGAGTAGGGCGCTTTCACGAGTATGGTGAGAGCAAGGTCAGTGGAGCAGCGGTGTCAAATGGGACATCAGGATTCGATGATGAATGGCAGCGGCAGATCTTTAGCTTCTTTGTCACATGCAATCAGACTTCTGTTCACGCCTTGTCCTACAGCTTAGCCTTTCCGAGCCCGCGATTAAGTATGCATTTTGGTCACCGCGCGTTGCACCGAATGTTCCGTGCATCTCAGGAGGCCAATCCGGACGGGACTGCTGTTGAGTTCCAAAATTATTCCCTCACCCAATACAACCTTGCAGTCAAATGTACCCAGAGGCTTCTGGCACAAAGTTCATCCGGCGACTTCGACCTGGTGGTCAAGGGCTTGGTAGCATGTGTACTGTTTGTGTGCTACGAGAACTAGGTGGGTGATTACAGAACAGTCCAGATGCACCTTCAAAATGGCCTTGAAATACTCCCTGGGGCTGTTGACGGACATGGCAAACAACGCCCCACGGTACCCGACAACATCACACAGGTCCTGAACCGACTCGACGTACAGGCCATATCATTTGCTGACTGTGAGGCACCCTATCCATATCATCTGGGCCAGCATTTGAGCATTCCAACGTCCTCGCCGTCGTTTGCTTACATCGGAGATGCAACGGATCATCCCATCGAAACATTGGATTTTCTGGCTCGCTGCATTATCGGAACCGAATCCAATTCCACATTACAGCTCAATGCCACAAGTACAGTCTTACAGCAGTGGGAAAATGAGTTTGATCGTCTGGTCGCTTTTTTTACTAGAGGACGATAATAACACCATCGTGCTACTTAAAATGTACCACACGACCATGACTGCAATGATTGCAACTGGATTATATGGGCAAAAGATTCTGCATGATGAGCATTATGGTCTATACGAACATATTATCTCATTAGGCAAAGTCTTGTTTGACCAGCAAAGGGCCGCTGGATCCATGGACGGCTACATCTTCTGCTTCGAACCAGGAACTCTGCGACTTTGGCTGCTCCAACACTCTCCCATGTCCCCTGTTGATGGTCTGCGGTTTAGAGTAACGAGATGGCTTGTCGTCGGATCAAGGGTTAACGGCACTTGATGGCAACAAAGAAGAGTGGTAGGAAGCCGGAAACCTCGAGGTCGAAACCATCTGGGAACCCTCCCACGGGTTTCCTCTTCGTCGACCCGCAATCGTTCAAGATCTCCACCAAGAGCGCGACAGCCGCCACCGATGTCGTGAAGGTTGACTACATCTTCTCTGCCGCGATCCTCGCCGCTGTCGACCCGACGCAAGAGCGCGTCGGCAAGCTAGACGTAGCGACCAATGAATTCGTCATTGATGGCATCGGAGTTCGAGTTTGAGGCCGAGGAGAACGAGTGGAGTCTCACGGTCCCGGATCTGAAGGGCGAGTGGGCCATTTTGATCCCAAAAGCTGCAGTGCTGTGAGCGGAGGTGTTAAGGATGGGATTGGGGTGTTAGGTGGTCTAGTTCCAAAGTTTTATTTGTAGGTTTTAGAAAATGGCGAAGAAAATCACGGGAGTGATCGGGGTTGTACAATACAATATATATGGGTACTTCATATACAAGTACCCCATTACCCCCGCCCGCCATCTATATATATTTCCTTCCAGCCGGCCGCCAACTCGTCGCCTTCCCATTCCACCACCATCCCCATCCCCTAAGTTCTAGAAACGCCTCCTCGTACTAAATCATAAAAGTTATACAAGAGCATGCTCTAACCTATCCCCTAGCCTTGACACAAATAGCAATCAGCCGATCAACATACGTCTCCGGCTCATCCATCTCCTTCATCGCGCCTCCCCTCGTCCCCATCTGCGCCTGCGGCGGCATCTTCACCAACTCCGTCCCACCAAGCCCATCGTCGCCTCCACCACCTTCCTCACGCCCAACAATAACACTAACCTCCTGACTCACCATGATCCCCCCAAAATGCTCTTCCGCCAGCATAGCCTCGGAGCCACTCTCCAAACTAAGCCGCGGCGGCGTCAGCGGCCCCCTCTCGGCATGTCTCCGCCCAAAGCGCACGCCCAAAAACCGGCGTTGCGCTCTCGGCGGCGGCATCGGCATCGGAATCTCCATCGCGCTATCGCCATACACCGAGCCCAGGCGCTTGAACCCCTCGCTCGACTCTCTTCGTCCAGATGAGCTCATAATGCTCTTGTGGCCATCATCAACACTCGCCCTGCGCCTGCTAAGTATTGACGCGAACTCGCGATGTACCTTGCGCGTAAAGTGGTGGTGGTCCGGACTGTTCCTGTACACGTATTGCTGGGTACGGAAGAAGCTGAGTGGGACGAATTCGAGTTTCTGGCCGTGTGCGCGGAACTGGATTGGCACAATGAGGCGGAATGCGAGGATTGCTGCGCGGCCTGGCGGAGCGTCGGGGTTAGGACCGCGGCAGGGCACGGTAAGGGGCTGGGCGATGAGGAGCGCGTCGTTGAAGACCGGGTCGTTGATTTCATCTTTCAATGCCACGAGAGAGTCGCGGAATTCTATCGCGAATACCTGCTGCTCCTTTGATACGGTGAAGGCGTTAGGCGATTTCGCATTCAGGAATTTCAGACACGCGGAGACCGATAACCCATCGAGTTGAGAAAGATACTCTGTCTCCCAGATCCTGAGGCTGTCGATTGGTAACTGAATGGCAGGGAGTTGGTTTCTGCGGTTCTTGGGGACAAGGATATCAAAACCGCCGCGCACACAGGCTCTAAGTGCGAATAACGCCAAGTGGACACCAGGGTTCATAATGGGCGTGTCCTTAGAGTACTCGTACATGTTAGTGAGCTGACCGGGGAGGTCATCGCAGTTGATCTGCATGCTGCGAGATAGGATAGGGGCAACGTCTTTTATGTCGGCAAAGCGATAGCCGGAGGCTGTAAGGTGGTCGGCCTCTGTTTTATCCACGCTGCGGACAAGGGCAAGGAGTTGTCCTTTGCTGCTGAGAACACGGGCTGCTGCAATATTTGTCTCTTCGTCCGCGGAGGGTTTGGATCCTTTTCCTCGGGGTCCAGATTCCGAGTTGTGCATCTCGCCGGTGTTGAATATCTCATCGAAGAGGACGCCAACATTTTCCAAGGGTTGGTTTAGCTGTTCTGCAAGATCTGCGGCGGCAGTACAGAATAGTTCGCGGAAAATAACCGAATAGTTTTCTGTGTACCCGTCCTCGCTGCCATGGGGATCGGTTTCTGACTGTAGCCCAGGACGGTACTTCTTCGCTTGTTGGAGGTGAGTACGCATGCCAGGAAGGAGAGTAGAGATGCTACTCCAGTTGCGAGTGGTGCGGAAAATCCACTGGAATACTGGGTGAGAGGTTCCAAACACTTCGTCGAAAGACTATTGTTTAGGTTAGTACATGGGATAGTTCGATACGAGAGCTTTTCGGTCGACATACCCATTCAATATAGGAAGTCGTGACCTTCTGATTTGGGAGGAGGCCTTCAGGGGTCACTAGGAGCCTCCCATTGAGATCGAATATTGCAGAGGCCAAGAGGACTTGTTGAGCTCTGTTTGCGGAACGAGTTCTTCTCCTCTGTGTAATAATGGTGAGGCCAAGAATGATAACACAGGCAGCAGCAGACTATTTCGTGTTAATATCCCTACGGGTACAGAACCGGTGGAAAGCCATACCAGAACAATGATGACGATAACAGTTGAGTTCCTAGGAATGTCATGGGACTTCGTAGGATCGACCATTTTCAGGCGATAATTTGTTCCGACGGACGCAACCCAATGCATTCCAAACACGGCGCACGCTAGAATGACACCACACATAGCTCTCTTCCACCATAAGTCGGTCCAGGCTGCACGCAGGGCAAAAAATACCCACAGTGCCGTGATGCTGGCGAAAACAGCGATAACCACCGAACCCACCACATATCCCACGGTATAAACACACGTATAGTTCGAAATTCCAGCTTGCCCAAGGTAATGCATACCGCAGATTGCCAATCCCGCCAGAGCTCCGCCAACTGGGAGTCGGACCTTGCTGATTTTGTCGCCAGACCCAACGGCCATGAAGGCGGCCAGGAGCACTATGATTGGAACGAAAAAGGAGAGAGCTGTGAAGCCCTGATTGTATGCGATCTGGATTCCGAGGTGCCCATCGCCTAGGACGATTGCGCGGTTGCCGATGTAGTGCATGCACCAGATGGCAATGCCTCCCATGGAGATCGATGAACTGAAGAGGAGCGACCTGACCGGGATCCATTAGTTTTGGTGATACTTCCACTTTCACGATCAGAACGCACCAGTTGTAGAGGCCTTTCTCGGCAGTCCGCCAGTGAAGGAGCTCCAAAGTCGTCCATGCTCCGATAAAGCTGACCACGTATGACAGCACCACAAATCCTGGAGTAAACTCTCTGCGGACGATGCGTCCCTCCCACTCCTTCCAGTCGATCGCGTTGTCCATCATGGCATTCTAATGAGTGCTGTGAGTGAGGCGTAGTTTCTGCCTTTCGATCAACAGGTACGGTACAGTACACGCTTGCTGAACGGTAGATACTCCTACTACCCCTTCTTCAGGACAGGGACCAAGCGGGATCTTATCCATTTTCAAACAAATCCTCCAACAGTGCCAATTCTACATCGGGTTGGGAGGCATTATCACATTCATGGTGCTCCAATAAGGAAGGAGCAATGCATGAACAAGAAAAAATACCCGAGGCTCATTTGCAGATGTTTTCCTGGAGCTGGGCCTGTCTCAGCTGAGGCTGCATATTGAACGCCACCAACCTATCGAGGATACACGTGAGGCAGATTGGGCGATCTTGGGGCACCTGGGCCGAGCTAACCCCAGCAGCCCACCCTGACCCACTACCAGTAATTTTCCGACGCTTAGTTGAAACGTAATTCTCCAACTCTTAGTTGAAACTATGAGGCCTACTTAACGCTCAAGGACAGGCCAAAGATCAAGGACAGGCCAAAGATCAAGGTCATGAAGAGGGTACGTTTCTGCATTAATCGATTATTAATATATTCCTAATGTATTAGTAGTGGAATGCCATTACGACAAAATATTACTCCAAATATGCTGTTAGACAAAGGGGGCATTGAGCTTCAAAATAGCTACAGTTGACCTCGGGAACTATCCCCTGCGAATGATCGCTCAAGGGGGCACCCGCTTTGTGGATGCGATGAGTGGGGGGCAGCTGCTAGTGCCGCTTTGTGGATGCGATGAGTGGGATGCGTGCGTATTATTGAATAGCCCAGACAAGTCCAGATTATGGGCGGGCGGGGCTGGCAGAATGTGCCGTTAAGCTGCTGGAGCATCTCTCCGGTTCCATATGTGGGCAGCTGACTCTTTCCATGGGCCGCAATATGATAACTGCTATCTAAAGCGACAAAAAACCCTTGGTTTTCAAGTATGGTCACTTTACGGAGGTAATGCTCAAAACAAGGGACCCCAGAATTTGTGCACGGCAGTATCAAATCATGTATTGATCACATATAAATACAAGGCGAGATACACCATCACGCTATGTCAGTCGGTCGGTGGCTTTTAGGCCCCCGCTATGTCAGTCAGTGGCTTTTAGGCCCCCCCCACTAACAAAACTTTTTGAACATTACCTCCGTAGACACGGCTGGTGCTCGGCATCGGCGAGTTGCACACCATCCGTAAGGCTCTGATTAGCGCGGGGGGCACACCGCAGACTTACGTATCGGGATGGCTGTGTGGGAGTGTGGGATCGCTGTGTGGGATCGCTGTGTGGGATCTGTGGGATCACTGCGTGGGATCGCTGTGTGGGATCGCTGTGTTGTGTGGGATCGCTGTGTGGGATCGCTGTGTTGTGTGGGATCGCTGTGTGGGATCGCTGTGTGAGATCGCTGTGTGAGATCGCTGCGTGGGATCGCTGCGTGGGATCGCTGTGTGAGATCGCTGTGTGTTTGATATGCCTGGACGGGTGGAACCAACACAACGTTCCCTAGCAATGCAGCTAACTCCTCCGATGCAGATACGCGTATATAGCTCACATTGTTCATCACGTAACGTATTTCACATGCCAGTCGCCCACCCAAGCGAGTTATTCGGACATCGCTGTCCGAATACTAAGCGAACGACATCGCGCACACCCTGGATTTGTAAGCGGTTACGTAATCAAACCCTAGCAAACCGCTCTAGCAACCCTAGAATCATCAAACGGGCCAAATTAATAAAGAAAGTGATTCATAGTAGAGTAAGATTCATAACAGTAGAAATAAATCACTTAATAAGAAGTGATTCATAGTAAGAATACCCCTCTTTCTGCTTGCCTTATTCCTCTTAGTGCCTTTCCTTTCTTCTTAGTTGGAACGAGCCATTCCTTAACCCGCGGCCCACGCCGCTGTTGACGATTGACGGACTGCCTTTTGGAATTATACACAATAAATCAATGGCTCTGTGCATTCAGTTTCGATATCATAGATTCGACTAGACACTTAATATATCCTGTCTCGAAACACTGTGCTGAGTTTATGCCTGGCGTGACCTAATATTCTAATACCATTGTTTGCCGCATGCAAAGAGAGCATATCTTTATGAATTAAAAATCTCGTAGTATAAATTTAATCAACACGGGGGAGCGAGATCAGGCTTCCTGAGACCCTGTGCTAGGATCTGTGTTGGGGGTTTTGCTGCCATTCTGCACGAGTGTATTTTCAATTCAGATTCTGGGGCGTGGGAAGTCCGACTCAGATTTACTAGTACTCTGGAATTTTCGTTGATATGTTGCCTGTACCTCTTCATGCAATTCTGATAGTATCTTTAAATAGACGGCTAGATTCATTTGTATATCTTAGAGACGGAGGGAGATGGCACAAAGAGCGGCACGAGCAAAGTGACATACGAGTGAAGCGGTCAATACAAACGCATACACAAAAACAATTGAGTTCAACTTTGAAAGCAGAATTCTTTGCGTAGAATAATTAATATATGTGTGTAACTTATAAGTTAGTTAAACTATTTAGCTGCAAATATAGCATGGGGTGAGAGCTGTCGTTAAAATGGCTTATGTAATCACAAGAGCCTAGACGACAGGGGTGCAACCGACAAGGCTGACAGAACTGGGGTCCCACTCTTTCCCCAACTCACAATATCGACGAGACAGCCTGGCCACCAACCCAGATAAACATTGCACTGCGACAGCGAATATGTTGACTGTCGAGCCTGCTCCCGCAAATGGTTCAAGCTGCTAGATACTGTCTGCCTCGATGGCTCCCCCAGCGAAGAGACCGAGGCGCAATGTAATTGTTTCGAGCTCACCTTCTGCGCCCAAGGGCGACAATGGCAGCGATGATGAATATACACAGAGTCGAACCGCAGCACCGATACGGGCAATCGACTTTAATTCGTCTCCCATCGAGGAGCCTTCGCCGTTTGTGAGGCCGACGCGATCATTGAAGCAACCTCCCACGCCGACCAAATCTCGACAATCGACCCTGACCAGCAATAGCCAGTGGATTACTACATCGCTTCTCCCCAACCAGAGCCGCGCTGCTTCTAGCAGGAAGAGCGCCAGCGCAAGCCCTGAGAAGCTGAGGGCTAAGGGAAAGCTGGTGGAGAATGGGAAATCGAAAAGCTTGTATACGTTCTTCTCGACACAAGTCCAGAAACAGCAATCCCAGGTTGCGCGCCCAACCGAAGAACGAAACAGAGGGGCACTCGTGGAAGAGGATGAGGGGATATCGGATGAAGACGAGGTACCGGAAAGTAAGGCGAAGATTAGTAGCTCATTTGCTGCTGCGGCGGCAAAGCGGACACGGGATGCTATGGAGGGAGGCGTGAGCATGATAAGTGGGAGTCAGAGGTTCATGAGGCCGCCGATGCCGGTGCAGGCTAAAAAAGAAGAGGATTCCAGACCATGGGCGGACAGATTTGCGCCAATGGATCTAGATGAGTTGGCAGTTCATAAGAAGAAGGTATCGGATGTTAGAGGGTGGCTTGAGGCAGTTATGGAGGGGAAGCTACGGCAACGGCTGTTAATCCTCAAGGGAGCTGCTGGAACAGGAAAGACTACAACTGTGCAGCTCCTGGCGAAATCTATGGGAGCAGAAATACTCGAATGGCGGAACCCAGCCGGATCAATGGCGTCAGACGATGGGTTCGTCTCTATGGCAGCCCAGTTTGAGGAGTTCATGGGCCGTGGCGGAAAATTCGGACAGCTGGATATATTTTCTGAAGATGAGCCTACTTCGCCTTCGACTTCGGGGGTAAAACCGCTCAATAGGAGGAAAAATATCATCCTCATCGAAGAATTCCCAAACACGATCACGCGCGCATCGACAGCGCTGCAGAACTTTCGCTCTACTCTCCTCCAGTACCTCGCCGCGAACACCCCCTCCCTTGCAGAGACGTACACCCGCCCCAACACCGCCACTGCGAAAGCCCCCATCATCCCTCTTATAATGGTCATCACCGAAACTCTACTCACCACAACCGCTACCACGGATAACTTCACTTCACACCGTCTTCTTGGTCCAGAGATACTCCATCACCCAGCCGTCGCAACAATTGAATTCAACCCTGCTGCGCCAACGCTTCTCGCGAAAGCCCTTGACCTGACCGTGCAGAAGGAAGCCCGCGCATCCGGCCGCCGCAAGACCGCCGGACCGCTCGTCCTCAAGCTCCTTGCGGAGATAGGGGACGTGCGCAGCGCCGTAGCGAGCCTGCAGTTTTTGTGTCTGCGTGGCGAAGAGGGTGATTGGGGTGGTAAAGTCGCATTTTCGGCTAAGAGGAAGAAAGCTGCAGGGAAGGAACAGCCAATGACGAAGATGGAGGAGGAGAGTCTGGAGCTTGTTACGAGAAGAGAAGCGAGCCTGGGGATCTTCCACGCTGTGGGCAAAGTTGTATATAATAAACGCGATACTCCCCCGACCGAGCAGGATAAGCGGGCTGTTGAGGTGCTACCACCATACCTTGCGCACGCGGCACGCCCACGGCCTTCACAGATTAACGCATCGGAACTTATTGATGAGATGGGCACGGACACATCGACGTTTATATCTGCATTGCATGAGAACTATATCCTCTCGTGCGACCCTCCAGCATCCCATGCGGAAGACTCCTCAGACCTCGTCCACGCCATTGGTTGCATCGACGCCCTCTCCGATGCGGACCTCCTAACTCCTTCATGGGAATCAGCCTATGGCCAAGGTGGAGCAGGAGACGTGGCAAGACAGGATGAACTGGCCTTCCAGGTCGCTGTGAGGGGACTCTTATTTGCGCTGCCGGATCCAGTGAAGCGGCGGGCTGCCCCGGGAAGGGGTGGACGAGGTAGAGGAGTCGGTGGAGGTGGGTCAGGAGGCGGCGGGGACGCATTCAAGATGTTCTACCCGACAAGCCTCAAGCTATGGCGCCAGAAAGAAGAGGTAGGAAGCCTTGCCGATCTCGCTGCATCGCGCCTGTTACGGCGGGAAGATGTCGCAGGTACTACCAATGCTGCTGTAACAAAGAAGGAAGTAGGCACGGTTGAAGGATGGTGCCGCGATGCTTTCGCCTCATCTGTCGCCGCTGTCGTTTCGGAGGGGGGTGAACCGGATGCTCTGTCACCATCCCTCGTGGGGCTTGGCGCCTCAGCGCGGACGGAGATGCTGTTGGAAAGATTGCCGTACCTGTTTGCCATCCACATGTCACGGACACGTAGTGTGAGCCTCCCGCTGCCAAGGGCGGAGATGGAGAGGGTGGTGAAGTTTGTTGGGATTGGGCGCGTGGCAGAAGATGATGAAGAGGGTATGGGCCCTGTAGTGGATGTGGATGGTAAGGGGGAAGGCAATGAGAAAAAGGTCAAGATCTTGCGTTTTGGGACAGTGGGCGTGGGAAGGGGGCTAGAAGAGCGATTTGGTGCCTTGAAGGCGGGTGGGACGGTGCTGAGCGATGATGATATTGAGGATTAACGTCGTTTTAATTTGCTTTAGGGAGTGGAGTTAATTTGGTAACGGCTCGCGGTGGCGAAGCCCAATTACTGTATGTATATGGAGGGGGAGTTTATATTGGAATTTATGTTATTTATACTTACTTGTACCCTATCTTCTGATACTCTTGACGCCCAAAAGTCCGAATAAGGGCTGTTCATACTCATGGAGCTAGAAGGGGAGCATGCACAACGGAACTGATCATAGTAAATGTAAGTGAAATTAACGCTCTTTGTCAGTCAGGTCCATATTTTCTAAGCTGGTTGCTAAAAAATATGATAAAAATAATAATTTCTATCAACAATACTACAGTTCTCACGTGATAAGTCGATATAATAATTCCTCTAGATAATATCGAGATATACTGAATATCGAGTAATCAAACCATTACATAAGCCAAACGTCCAATGTGCCCTGAATGCCCTCATTTGCCCTTTTGACCACTAATTCCCTTTCTATACGCTCTAAAGAACGGAGTGTACCTGCCGGCTCCCTTATGCCACTATTCCCAGTTTCCGTAAAGTCAGTCAGAACTTGGAGGGCTTGTAGAACTGCCTGCGTAGAATGAACCACCGGCAGTCTAAGCTCCTCCCCATCGTCATCATCTTCACCTTCATTAGGAGGCTAGATCAATGACCTCTTGTAGTACTATATCCCCCTCGCTATCTTGTATACCCTCTTGTATCGTCTCCTCCGCTGGGTTTAGAAAGTTTGAAAGGTCCATCGCATCGTGAATTCGGCCGTGCTGTTGTACTTGGTTATAAAGGTCAGTAAGAGGCGAAATGTGCTCAAGAGGAAGTTGGATCAGGTTTTTGATGATTGTGCTTTTGCGGAAGCAGTTGTAGATAGTCGTATTTGAGACATCGTGATACCAGATCGGATGATCCAGCGAAGGGCAAGATGTAAGTTAATAGTTTTAAGAGGATCTTCATTGTTGTCGAAGGCGTTTAGCATGAACGCAAGCCATTGTCAACGATAATGAGCTTTAAGGGAGGCAATAATGCCTTGATCAAGGGCCTGGAATCGACTGTCGAATGCGATGGCCGAAGGTTCTAAAGAATCAGTCGATAGAGGCTTTTTGCGAAGGCTTTGGTGACTGGTGAGCATACCAGTTTCAGAGTGCGCGACGCTGCTCAATCGTCATTGTAAACAGCTGATTTCGAGGCATCTTGGCCTATGTAATGTCGGTATAAGACGATATCTGGTCAAATCAGTTCGATATCGAGTGTATCGTAGTTTTGGTGGGAAAATAAAGAATCCTACAAAAAATATCGAGTTAGCGTGAATATCGCCTAATAAAGTATTGACTTATCGCGTGAGAACTGTAGTATTAATTATACACTGGAGGCAGTCGCACTTCAGGCATTTTGCGGGGGGCACGAGTATCAGTAGCTTCCAGAGAGTGTTTGAAACGCGGAAAATCGACCAGTTAGGAAAATAGTCCAATAAAGCTGTAGCAACGCGAGAAGGCTACCTGCTGCATGATGCCAATTCCAACATAAACGAGGGCTTAAAGCATATATGTTCCACATTGTAAGCGCTAGACTAATAATGTATCACCAAATACCATCTGCTAGACTACACAGTGTTGCCCGAGTATTACTCGTTGCAAGTACTACTTGAGGAATTACTCGAGTAGTACTCGACTCGAAGAAATCTGAACTACTCGAGTAGTTGCCAAGACAGCCAAGAGAGCAGGGTAAGGATGTAGACAGAATTATAGCATAGGCAAAGTGAAGCTTTCAATGACTTGAATATTGCTGTGATACTTACCATCGTCAAGATGAGCGAGTCTTCGCTATCACCGCCGACCCTAGACGACCCGGGCGAATATGAGAAGGCCTTAAGACCCACTTTTGTCCCTACCACTTGTACGCATGCCTATACGGCCTCAAGACCAACTGTTACCAGATTCTAACTCAATCCTCTTTGTAAAGGGTATATACTCTCGTACTATTCTTAATAATGCGCCTTTAAGAATATCATTTAAGTGTTTGCAGCCACATTGCACATATACACCATTACAACCTACAAAGATTGTAATGGTGGGTGCACCAGATGTGAGAATCTAGCCACCCAGGGGAGGGGATGATTTTACTAAGACAACACACTGTCTTAGGAAACAGAGCCAAAGGGTTGTAGCTTAGACTATTCCACAACGCAGCAATCAAGTGTATGATGTAGTGGAGTGGTTTAGACAAGTTGTACAAATGTTGAGTCTGAGAACTCAGGGATAAGTCAGAGGTTAGCACCTCACTGACTGTTCAGAAACAAGGAGTAACAAGATTGCTTGGAAGCTTGGAAAAGACGTGGAAGTATGTGATAGTCAATTTACTGTATTGTCTGCTTGCCCTTTCTTAAGGAAAGGGCAATCCTATTTATGCTAAAGGAGTGTAGTTCTCTCATTTTCCATGACTTTCCATGACTAACCAGGCTTGGTAACTGTAGTCGACGTAAGAGAATCCCATAGAACCATCTCCTAGGTTCCTAGCCTATAGGAAGTGAAAGGAGGTCCAAGGTAAGAGTACCCCTATCGACAGATTATGTCATAACTTAACCAATCTTGTGGATAACTAAGGAGCGATGACGTGTAATGAATCATAGACAGTTGTAGAAGCTTCTAGAGCTATCGTTCATGTTCCTAGGCCTCTAGTTGATAGAGATATGGCCCAGTAACTAAGGAGTGATGTCATGTAATGAATTATAGAGGGTTGTAGAGATATGCTATGTGGTCATATCGGCCCAGTAACTAAGGAGCAATGACGTGTAATGAATCATAGAGGGTTGTAGCAATCGTTGAGTAGTATGCTTTTGTTGTTGGTGTGACAAGCCAAAATATGTATAGTGACTTGTAGGTTTGAGGAGGAGATTTCTAAGTTTGCTCTTGAGTTTGATAGCAAACTGAGTGCAACGAATGTCAGAAGGACAAGAAAGAGGATGGAAGTGCACATTACAATAAAAAGCCAAATCAGAAAGGGAAGCCAAAGTCAAAATTCAAGGACATAAAGGGCAAAGAAGGAAAGATGTGCAAGAACTGCAAAAATCTGAATGCAAGGCACGAACCTGAAAACTGCTTCGTCACAAACAAGAAGCTTTGACAGGAATGGGAGCAGAAAATAGGAAAGAAGTTCACACCATTCAATGCATTAAGCAACAAATCAAACAAGCTAAAGAAGGCAAAGAATGACAACTCATCAGATGAAGAAGATGAAGATCGTCAATTTGGCAAGAATGCCACCACATACATTTGTGTTTAACTCAACCACTCAAGGTCGCCAATTCAAAATGGTACATTATTTGACACTGGAGCAGAGACACATATCGCCAGCTCAGTCGAGGAATTTAACAGTGGCACATACGAAACCTCATTGACTCTTCCATCCATTGACACAGCAAGTGGCATTACTAAGCCACTTGGTCAAGGCAAAAGAACATTGAAATGCATAACAGATGATGGAGGCATTCACACCCTACACCTTACCAAAGTTCAATATCTGCCAAATTGGAATGAACATTTTTGGAGCTCGAAAGCTTTTAGGAAGGGGTGATTTACGGATCATGGATAAGAATCTTGTACTCAACAAGGAGGGTATTCCAATGTTCCGCTTTGATGAGAACATGATGATAATTGAAGCATCGCGTACATATGCATTTCCAGCAACTACTCACATAGATGGGAAGAATCCTCCACACTCAATTCGACTCTGGCATCGTAGATTTGGACATCTTGGACTTGTGAATGTACAGAAGACCTCAAAAATGGTGAGAGGCATGGCAATCTCTAATGAGGAAGACCTTACGCCACAAGAACAAGAAGATGAAGCTCTCCAATTGTGTGATCCATGCGAGAGAGGAAAGGCAAAGAAACACATCCACAAGCAAGCTATAACTCGGAACTTGCAACCGTTCGATGAAGTGCACATTGACGTGGTCATGATCACGCCAGAAGGAATTGGAAGGAAGAAGTATGCAACCATTTTTACAGAAAAGGCAACCACAGTCTGTTGGGCTTACTTCCACAACTCGAAAAGCGGTGCATACAATGCACTCCTCAAATTCCAGAAAATGGTTAATACACAGTTCAACAGAGTCATTAAGAAGTGGCGAATGGATGGAGGCAAGGAATACAGTCCAAAGAAGCTTACAAAACTTGCAGAGGAGCTTGGGCAAATCGTTGAAATGACAACTCCATATAACCCAGAGCAGGATGGCACATCAGAGCGGTCAATTGGCATTATCTGCGAGTGTACGCGAACTGCGATGATCAATATGGCTATTCCACAATTTCTCTGGCCTCTCATACTTGAAACTATTGTTCATATTACTAACCACACAGCAACCTCGAAACTTAAAGGCAAGACGCCATACGAAGCTCTAACGGATGAACTTAATCCTAGACATGACAACCGTCCATCTGTAGCACATTTTTGAGTGCTTGGATGCAAGACTTATGTACAAATCCCAAAGGAAAAGAGGGTCACAAGTGCAAAGGTTGCAGAACGGGCAGAAGTTAGAATTCTTGTTGGATATGAAGGCACACATATCTTTAAAATCTATGTGCCTACACGCAGGGGACCACTCGAAAATCGCATAGTGCGATCCTCAAATGTCCGATTTGACGAAGGAGGACTCATTATGAAGCCATTCCTAGATGAGGACGAAATTGAAAATGATAATGAAGATGCATCTATCACACTGCCTTATAGAGCCAGGGGTGAGACGAATTATGATAAACAGCTAATACAGCGAGTCTCCAAAACCCAGGATTAAGAGCATCATGCAGAAATTGAAACTGATAACGAAAACTCAATCATACCTGAACCAGAGCTTGATGAATCAGACCAAGAAGTTATGATAAAGATACAGAGCTGTTACCCACTGTTACAGTGAGGAGAACTCGAAATGTATACACTCCAAAACCTGAGTTTAACAGAGTCACCCGCAACCAAACCCGCGAGCGACCACAACATCCGCATCAACCA